CCCTCTATGAAAATTAATAAATAAAATCTTAAAAAAAGAGAAAGAACTAGCTGACTGTGGGATTGTTGACCCTGCTACTGTTTGAGAGGCTCTAGATATGCAGCTAGAGGAACTTAGTGAAGAGAAAGTTATCAACATAAATGAAGAAAGTGGTTGTGACAAAAAGTATGAAGATGTTCCAGAGGAAGTGCCACCAGCAAAACACCTCACATTAAAAGAATTCTCACCTTGATTGGTGTTGCCCAGTGGATTCAGTGCCGGCCTGTGAGCCAAAGGGTCACTGGTTAGATTCCCAGTCAGGGTACATGCCTGGGTTGTGGGCCAGGTCCCCAGTAGAGGGTGTGTGAGAGGCAACCACACATCGATATTTCTCCCCCTCTCTTTCTCCCTTTCTTTCCCTCTCTCTAAAAGTAAATAAAATATAAAACAAATAAATAAAAGAATTCTCAGTGATATTTCACAACATTGAAAATGCAAAGGATAAATGGTGGAAGTTGATTCAAACTTAGAAACATGACAATTTGCCAAAGCATAGAAAAGATGTTTCCTCGGTATCTTAAGTTATACAATAAGGAGATGGCATGCACTATTGAAACTACTTGACAGTTTTTACAAAGAAATAAAACACTATAATTCTCAATGTTTCTAATGTTTTAAATTACAGTGTACTCTCTCTATATATGTTTTACTATCCTTTTAATTTCCCCCATGTATTTACACTGACAATAACAGACTTTTTAATGTTTTGACAAAATTTTAAAAGTCACAGAATAATTGTAATTTTCCCTATTGATTATTCAGATTTAATGGTTATTTACAGTCCCACACTACAATTCAAAGCCAGAACTGTCTGAAATAAAAAGCTTTTCTGCTAACATTAATCAGAGGTGCAATTCCAGGGCAACAAGAATGAGGGCAACATTATCAGCCACTGCCATTTGGTGACTAGTCACAAAGAGATATTCTTCTAAGCACTTGTAGTCTAAGAAAAATAATTTGAAATAAAGTTTCTGTCATTATATAAATTTGAAAATGAAAGGTCTGGACAAAAAGGAAGATTCATGCAGGATGTTTGTGTTTTTTTTTTTCTACTTTCAAACTCAAATCTGTTAATGTGAAAATAAAAAAGCAATATCTCATAATGTGATGTCAACAGCAGAACACTAACCTTAACCCTAAAATGAACTCTAACCACACCTCCAACTTAGAAACTTCTTCAAGTGTGTAAGAACAAATTTGGGAAAATCCTAATTTGTCTTCTATTGGGGTAATAATAAGGGCTAGACATTGGAAGTTTTTAAAACATTTTAATTTTTTGATTTTAGAGAGGGGGTGGGAGAGAGAGAAAAAGACATCAAATTTGTTGTTCCACTTATTTGTGCATTCACTGGTTGATTCTTCTATGTGCCCTGACTGGGGATTAAACACACAACCTTGGCATCAGGACGTTTCAACCAACTGAGCTACCAGGCCAGGGCAGGGTTGTAGCTTTTCTGAAGTAACTGAAGGTGTTGTTGAGCCTCCTCTTTCACCATTATTTTATGATTTCCTTGCATGGAAAAGGGAGAAAATAGTTTAATTACCTGCAAGATTTTCACTCCTAATTCTTTTTCTCTGTGATTCAACAACAACACAATTTTAAGGTCTATAATATCTTCTTAAATAAAACATATAGTCCTGTGATTATTTAGAAGGGGATAGATAAAACAAAACCATACAGGGACTGAGACTGGAGGAGGGTATTGAATCTCTTAAGTGTGGCAGTTTGGAGACTCAGCTTGTGTGGGCTCCAAAATAACCAGAAAAATATTGCTTGAGCTCCAGGCAAAAAATAAAACCTCAAAATTAGGACATAGGTTGTTTTCCTGTTGTTGATAGATATGAGCTCAGCAGCTATAGTGACGATTCACAGATTCTTGAATCCTGGGGAGCAGAGCTTTCCAAGCAAAGTGTTTCCCCCTTTTAAAATAATATTGGAGGAAGTGCTTAAGACAAGGAATATTAATGTATTATTGTAAGACACAGAATCAAGAGAGTTTATCTTCTATGATTTAATGTTGCTTGGACTTTATTCCAGAAGAAACAAATATTTTCAAAACTTCCCTAAATGTGAATTTAGAAAATGAAGCTGCCATGCCTCCATTCCAGGCCAGACATGTTAAACCTGTTTGCAGATCCTCAGAAAACAAATCCAGTTGACCCTAAAAAATGCATGAATATCAGTCAAATGGTTTACTTCTCAATAATATCAGTACTTGTATAGTCTAAGTATTGCTTAATATTTATCGTTAATTAATGTTATCGGAACCAAACACATAACCAAGCTACATATGTAAAAAAAAATTTCCTGCCTCATGCCATGTCTCTAAAGTTATTAAATCGCTGACTACTACTGTTGAGATGTTGGACACCATTTTGTAAGCTATTTACTAGGGTTTCCATAGAAGAAAAAAATGAAGGTCTATTCTAGAAATTTATTTAACCAGCAAAATATTTTTCATATTTACAATTTAGTTTTTAAATATTTGGTTCTTCTTAGTATAAACTTTTAATTATTTATTTATTTTAATTTATGTTTTGTTATGTACATAATCTATTAGGATACTAACATATAATATAAACTAATATGTATGTATTATAGATCCAGTTCAAATTTTTTAAATATGAGGGGTCTGTAGTAAAAAAACTGAGGACTGATACTTTAAAGAAATTTCCATTTGGAGAATATATGAGTCACATATTTTAAAAGTTTAAAAAATGTTTCATCTTTGAAATAGAAATGTGAACCAAAATTTAGATTCACACACAAGTTGAAAACACTACTTTTTATTGGAGTTGAATATGTCATTAGGACCTTCTATTAAATCACTCTATTAACCATTAGCCAACTAACCCACAAATCATCATTATGGAAGTTAGTTTCCTTAATAACTTAAATCTTTAAAGGGCTTAATCTCACAAAAGGTCTACTGAAAAAAATTCACTCACCTATTGAGTAATAAATGAACAAATCAACTCTGCCAGAAAGTTGGGTATTTAGAGAAATATCATTTCCCTAAAATCATTCATTTGTTTAAAGTTATTTCACATCATGCAGTATAAACAACAAATTGAGTGAATTTATGATTTTCCTACCTATAATCTTAATATCATCATTGCAAAAGAATATAAATAAATCCCACTAGAGAATTCACTCTTTATCTCAAGTAGCCCAAGCTCTGTGCTTAGGCTGGAATTTAAGCATGACCATTTTGTGACAGTTGTTCTACTCCTAGTAAAAGTAATGTTTAATACAAGTGATAAACTACAATTTGCCCTTGGTTATTCACAATTTCTAATGATATATAGCACTAATTATTGTTAAGTAGAAATAACACTGGGAATACTGAAAGAATAAATGCTGTCCATTTTATATACCGATCATCCCAAATAACAATTATTGTCATCACAATATAACAGAATGTTAAAATGGGACTGTCTGTCTCAGTTTCTGCCCAGGCCCAATAGGTGCTGACTCTTCCTTCATTCCAAAATGAGATGCCAGATCACTAAAACAGGACTTGCAAAGAATGCAATATACTTAAGAGATAGATTTGCAATGCATCTGTGACTTCCTGCAGCTTCTAAAATGTATGCAGAAACCAAGAAACAGGTAGTAGGTTAGAAGAGCATTTTTGAAATGTATGATGTGTCCCACATACAGGGGTACTCTTTCCTCATCTCAAGCCTAGGGACAGTGGCTCCAATGGCATCAATCAATGGGAGAGCTTGTAGACATAATACACTAATCTCAGGCCTCTACCTGGGAAATCTTAAGTAAGAGGGACTGGATGGCTAACTGTTTTTATGGCAGAAAAAGAGAGGAGTCCATACTGGGATGACCCTGACTCTTGTAAGAGCATAGAACATGAAGGGCTTCTCCTGAACCAACATGGAACACCCAAGAGACCTAGCATGGTATTATTTCACATCATGACCAAAAGACTGCTGAGGGGGTAGGGAGATGTCAGCAGGAAGAGTCTGGAGGTAGCCTCTTGGATGGCAGAGGAGATGTAATTATCTGCCATCAAGTACTGCTGTGAGAAATTCCCAGATGAGAGAGTACTCCAAGGGACCCTGAAAAGCACCCCATAAGAAAAAGTGTCGGACTCAGGCATCTACATCAATGCTAGATTGCTAAAACAGAACCAGAGTTTGCCTGGCCCTTAACTCCTCACCTTCTGTTGGCTTTACATGAATGCACTGATGGCAGAAAATCAGAGGGAACAGCTTGTGATCCCTCTTCTGCTTAGAGAGGAGGCCAGCTTGAGTTAGGCTTGAGCTGGAAGGCAAAAGGTATTAACTTGCAGTACATCTCTTAAAGTTGAAAAATCATTCTTATTATTACACATCATTCTACTGAGACTCTTTGAGGGAATCAAGCAAGCAGAGGACTCCCCCCTGCCCCAAAAGTTACTACAAAAGCCACCATGTCCATTGTATTTCACCAGGGACAAGTAAAAAGAACAAATCTCGAATAGATTTGAAGGGTAGTAGGGGAAAAAGAATGACCTTGTTTTCTATTGTATGGATATTACAAGTTATGATTGAACAATCTATTGGTTTCAATAGTAATAGCTAATGTTTATCAAATGTTTATTATATACCCAACACTGTCTGATTTTCATGTAACAAATTATTTTATTCTAACAATAAATCCTATAAGGGAGAGGTTAAGTTACCCAAAGTTGCACAACTAGTAAGTGACAAAGCCATTCATATGGCTATTTGCAGCAAATAAGAATTCAGTTTCTCTCTTCAATTTTTTTCTATCAACAATCAAAATACAGAATATCTAAAATGTCACCCACAGCCATATCAATTCCAGTGCATTAGCACTTTGCAGAGACACATGAGGCTACATGTGATTTACTGATTTGTTTCAGAAACAAAACATTGAGTCATCACAGGAAATGCTTTTTTCTTAAATATATATTTCTCTTTTTCTTTCTTTTTTTTAGATGTGGACAACCACTACAAAATAAAGTACAGCTCAAGGGTCGTGACCTCCTCACTCTAAAGGACTTTACAGGAGAAGAAATTAAGTATATGCTATGGCTATCAGCAGATTTGAAATTTAGGATAAAACAGAAAGGAGAGGTATGTAGCATTTTCATCTTCCATTACTACCAATCAGCTTTTTAAAAATCAGCCTTACAAAGAAAGAGGCAAAAGAAAACATTAAAATTCCTAAACAGTAGCAAGAAATGAAACCACACAGTCAAGTTAGTTGATTATCACTGAAATCACTGACTGTATAGGAATATAAAAAGCATAAAAATAAGTTATTCAATGACAAATCATTGCATTTCTTTCATGTGGAATGTTGAAATTCATTGTTAACTGGATCAGAACTCAAGGAATAATTCTCTGGAAAGATTTTATTTTTATACCTCCTTTTCTCTGTGCGTTTTCTATCAAGTTAAAAATAAGGATGATACATTTTTTTCTACAAATTTTGATTGTGAATGAGTAGCAGATATATAATCATTAGGATAATGTCAAAAAAATTACACTGATGTGACAATGTTTTAAAAATTAAGATTAGCCAAAAAAAAAACCCCACATAATTAAATGGTAACCAAGTAGGAGAAAAGATGGGATATGGTGCTTAGCTATAATCATTATTCAGCATTTTGAGCAATTTATATTTGCAAAACACTTAATTAATGCAGTGGCTTCATTTAGACTGCTTAATTGTGAAATCATTTTTGTATTCCAAGCTTGTTTAAAAACTTTTTTAAAAAGTTGGTTACAGGTTGAGAAAGTTTTACACAACCTTGATTTTCTTATCTAGTTCATGAGCTCTTCAAGTTCCTATGAATATACTGAAAACAGAGTGACTGCAACTGTTATGGCATGGTATTCCTGTAGAAGATCTGAAATAAGGAGAAAAGGTCCCCCAAGATCCCAGGCCTTTATTCTTTACATTGTGTGTGAGGATGTTTAACTGGCAGGAATCTATTTGAGTTCATCATATCAGAAAAGTCCATCTATAGAAGAGGAAGGAAGAAGAACCCCACCCCACACCAAACTCTCCAGATTGTTTCCACATGATTTTCAGAAACAAATCCTTTGCAATCCTATGAGGATGCATAATGAAAGTGTAGCTGACACTCTGAGGCTTCATCTTTAGGTGCCTTAGAGCCCCATTTTGTGACAGGGCAGCATGTTCTTAGCTGAGAAAACATTTCCAAACCTTCCATCTTCAAGGTCATTGAACACTGATGGGGTCTTACATGGATTTAAGTAAGAAGGTGGTTCCAGTGTGAAATATTAATAAACTGAACAAGTGTTCAGACTGAACCCAAAGCAACTAATAATACTTTCTAATTATATGCCAATAATCTGTGGGAGTTCCTGTTCCCTTTCCCCATTTGTATAGAAAATTAAAAAAAAACAACTTTAACTTCACTTTTTAAGTGACATTTGAATACTTATTTGGAAGCAGTGATGAATTATTCTGTATTTTGATAATGTAAAGAATTTTGAAATATAATCCTTGATATTGGATATTTTTCATCTTAATTGTATTCTTGTCCTTGATTTTCAGTATTTGCCTTTATTGAAAGGCAAGGCTTTAAGCATGATTTTTGAAAAAAGAAGTACTCGAACAAGATTGTCCACAGAAACAGGTGAGTCCACCAACAAACTCACCCTTGTGTTGAAGAAGGGGCTGGAGGGTGAGGACCTGGGAGTAGTCCAGTGGAGGGTGGCAGGTAAAGGGAGTCTGTCTTTTTCTTCAGCAACCACAGAGGGGAAATACTGTCTCTGGGAGCAGCAGTACAAGTTTCTCAATGCCCCTTCCAATTCTTGTAAAAGCTGAAAGCAGAAAGATTAGCTTCATCTATAGGAATTCAATGAGGACTTGAATAGAAGTCCCAAATAGCACTTAATGTTAAGTACAAAATGTAAGTAGGCACAAATTCTCATGCTTCAAACTCGTGTGGTCAAGAAATGTGTATTTTTCTGACATGTAAAGAACTTTATCTTATTTGTACCACTTTTGCTGTTTGGTGGAAATGTAATTTCTACAATATTAGGCAGTCCTCTGTCATTCCAGGGGTTGCTTTGTGAATTTAGTCTCCCATCCCTTGCATTACAATCAAGCTTAATTCCTAAAAAAATATATGAATCTCAAGACATCTAAGGCAATGGGTATCTGGTCATGAAAGGTTAATGCTGGAGTCTGCTAAGATTTCTGTATCCCGATTGGACATTGGCTCTCTCCCATTCACTGTGGAGTTTACTTCACTGTGATCACAAGACCTCAAATATATCTTAGTTTGGCTCTCTCAGTCTCTTGGCAGCTCTCCACACCACACTGGGCACAGAGATACCACAAGGCTCTCTCTACTATAGTGTTCTTTGCTCACACTGGATTCCAGGGAGTTCTGCATTTGTTGTTCTAGATCTCTCTTAAAAGCATGGCACAGGTATTCTCAGCTCTAGGGTTTCCCAGGCTCTTCTAAAATTTCCATTATGCTCCCCAACCTGAAGTACTTGGCCTGGGGTACATACAGGAGTTTACAGTGTCCAAGACCCACCAATTTCTGTTTATCTATTGATCCTCTTCTTCCCCTTCTACTTCCCAGTTTTGGAAGCCCAGTGATAAAGTAGGAGAAAAAAATCTCACTATGACTATCCATGTATTCTTTCAAATCTATTGTTTGCAGCAAGAATCCTAGGCTGTTAAAACAAAAATTTCTTTTTTTTTCTCAAATGCTTACCTCTGTACTAAGTTTCAAAAAGTCTGTTTTGAAAGTTATAAGCCACACATTGCTTTTTTTCTTTCTTTCTTCATTTCTGTTCTATCAGAACTTCCTTGAATAAACAATATGACTGCCCAAATGGGCAAATGGATAGAATTGAGGATGAAGTACCACAAACAAAAACACATTGATTGATTCTGGAAATATCTTATCCAACTTACAAGCATCAGAGCTTTCTAGGGCTTAGAAGCAAACATCTGCTTATTGCCATTCTTGCCTTTTAATGATTAGTAATGAAGTTAAAATACATGACAAAATGAAGTTCAGAAGAATTAAGTGACTTCTTAAGTTCACTCAATTAATACAAATAGCACCAGGGTTCAGGTGCCAAGTTCACTATTCTTATTAATGCATTCTTATTGTCCCCTGAAAGAAGGAAGGAGAAACAAGGGAAATATAAGATGTCACCTAATCTTTAAAGTCATAGAAAGAAAACAGATGAGAACATTTTGTTCTTTAAAGTTGGCTTCTTTAAGAGATCATGTGGACATCTGCCATTAAATAAAGAAAAATAAATATTGTATAAACCAGTTAGTAATGATCAAATTCTGCATCTTTTCAACATGGATCTTCCATGAGTTGGGCAGAATTTTATGTTATCATTTTTTATCATTAGTATGAGGAGTGTTTTTTTAAGTTATCAAAAGAATTAATTAATATATAGAAATTTCTCAATTTTAAGGTTTTTTTAGCTGTTTTTCAAGTACAGTTGTCTCCATTTTCACCCCACCTCAGCCCCTGCCCCACCAATCCCCACCTCCCACCTTAGAACCTACCCCTTTTGACTTCGTCCATCTGTCCTTTGTACATGTTCCTTGATGGACCTTCTTGTATTTTCCGCCATTATCCCCCTGCTCCCTTCCCTCTGGCTACTTTCAGTTTGTTCTTTAATTTAAGGTTTCTGTTTATATTTTGCTTGCTTGTTTGTTTTGTTGATTAGTTTCCACTTATAGGTGAGATCAAATAGCTGGGATTATACCCTAAGAATCCTGAAACACCAATTCAAAAGAACCTATGCACCCCAATGTTCATAGCAGCACAATTTACAATAGCCAAGTGCTGGAAGCAATCTAAGTACCCATCAGTAAATGAGTGGATCAAAAAACTGTGGTACAGACTTCTGGCCAAGATGGAGGCATAGGTAGACAAACTGTGCCTCCTTGCACAACCAAGATAGGGACAACAGCAATTTAGAAACAGAATACCAACCAGAACTGACAGAAAATTGAACTATATGGAAGTCAGACAACCAAGAAGTTAAAATAGACCCATTCATTCAGACTGGTAGGAGGGGTGGAGTTGGGTAGCCAGGCGTGGGTCCTGGCATGGAGAACAGAAATTGTTGGGACTGGGCACGTAAGGCATCCAGGATGCACAAGACTGTAGTGGGTGGACCCTGAGCATGTAAGTGGCAGCTGGCAGACCCCGGCCGAGGGGTGGCAACCGGCAGACCCAGTGAGGCAGCCATTGTGAAGCAAGGCACTGCAAGCAACCCAGGATCCCAGCGCTGGGAAATAGAGCCTCGGGACACTGATTGAAAACACCTGTGGGGGTTGAGGCACAGGGAGATACTCCCAGCCTCACAGGAGAGGTCCTTGGAAAGTCCCATGGGTTGCACAAGCCCATCCACATGGGAATTGGCAACAGAGGGGACCAGTTTGCTCAAGGGAAGCGGTGGAACGGATTGAGGTCCCACAGAGAGCAGAGCAAGTGCCATTGTTCCCTGTTGGACCCTGCCCCCACATTCAATGTCACAACTCAGCGACTGGGGAGCCCCACCCTGGTGAACACCTAAGGCTCCGCCCCTCATACATAACAGACACAGCAAAACCAAAGGAAAAAAAAACAGATGGCTCAAACAGAATTGAGAGCTCCAGAATCAGTACTTTTAAGCAACCAAGAGGTAGCCAACCTATCAGATACACAGTTCAAAGCACTGGTGATCAGGATGCTCACAGAATTGGTTGATTTTGGTCACAAATTGGATGAACAAATGAAGGCTACAATAAGTGAAACAAAGAAAAATGCACAGGGAGCCAATAGTGATGGAATGAAAGCTGGGTCTCACATCAATGGAGTGAACCAGAAGGAAGAAAAAAACATACAATCAGAAAAGAATGAAGAAATAAGAATTTAAAAAAATGAGGAGAGGCTTAGGAACCTCCAGGACATCTTGAAATGATCCAACATCCAAATTATAGGGGTACCAGAAGAAGAAGAGGAAGAAAAACAAGTAGAAAACTTATTTGAACAAATAATAAAGGAGAACTTCCCCATTCTATAAAAGGAAATAGACTTCCAGGAAGTCCATTAACCTCAGAGAGTCCCAAAGAAGTTGGACCCAAGAAGGAACACACCAAAGCACATCATAATTACATTAGCCAAGGTAAAAATGAAGGAGAGAATCCTAGAAGCAGCAAAAGATAACCTACAAAGGAGTTGCCATCCTAGCAGTAACCTACAAAGGAGTTCCCATCCAACTGTCAGCTGATTTCTCAAAAGGGGCCTTACAAGCAAGAAGGGGCTGGAAGGAAGTATTCCAAGTCATGAAAGGCAAGGACCTACATCCCAGATTACTCTATCTAAAAAAGCTGTCATTTAGAAGGGAAGGGCAGATCAAGTGCTTACCAGATAAGGTCAAGTTAAAGGAGTTCATCCTCACCAAGCCCTTATTTTATGAAATGTTAAAGGGACTTATCTAAGAAAAAGAAGATAAAAAACATGTTTAGTAAAATGAGAGCAAACTCACAATTATTAACAACCACACCTAAAACAAAAACAAAAAGAAACTAAGCAAACAATTAGAACAGGAACAGAACCACAGAAATGGAGATCACAAGGAGGGTTAGCAACAGGGGAATGGGAGGAGGAGAGAGGGGGAAAAGGTACAGATAATAAGTAGCATAGATGGTAGGTAGAAAATAGACAGGGGGAGGGCAAGAATAGTATGGGAAATGTAGACGCTAAAGAACTTATGAAACATGGACATGAACTAAAGGGGGGGTGTGGGTGGGAGAGGGTGTGCAGGGTGGAAAGGAATTAAGGGAGGGTAATCGGACAATTATAATAGCATAATCAATAAAATATATTAAAAACTGGTACATTTACACAATGGAATTCTATGCAGCAGAAAGAAAGAAGGAGCTCCTACCCTTCTCAACAGCATGGATGGAACTTGAGAGCATTATGTTAAGTCAATTTTAAGTTTCTTAAACTTAATTCTTCTTAGTTGATGGTGTATTCTACCACTTTTCTCTGTTCAGATGTTATTTTTGCTATTAAATGTCCCTGAATAAGTGATCAGTTTTATCGTTCACATATAATGTGTTTGTTAAGCCATTAATAAAACCAAGAGTGAATATTTAATGAGCCTTTGCCTGCAGACCCAGTGTCAAGTACTGTACATCAATTACATGGATTATCTCACTTAGTCCTCATAATGAGTCTACAAGAGTGAGCCTGTTGAGGAAAACAGGCTGAAACAGGTTCAGCAAATAGCCCACAGACACATAGCTAATAAATGGCAGATGCAGGATTGGAAGCTATTATTAAATGTATTTTGTCAGTCTCTAATTTAATTTAGACATGTGATAGTCATGTTTTATTCCAGTAAAATTGTTTCTACAGGTGGCATTAAGCATTTTGTTAAATGATGGCCATCTGTAAAGAAGGTCTCTGAAACCTGCACAAAATTGCAAACTGTAACAACAAATACACGAGAAAAGGAAGATAAGACCATAAAAGTTATGGTTCACAGAGTATTCATCATTATCCTCAAATACCCTGGGTCCTAACTGCATATGGCATTCTGCCAAGCTCAACACTAGGAGAATCAGTCAGAGTAAGTAGCTGCTTTAAATGTTTACAGAAATGGTAAACCTCAGCCAAGAACATGGTAGAGCTTTTCTGTTGTGTACATGTGCATCTTAATAGTTGTCCCTTGACACATTTTTTTTATCAAAACCTTTTACTTTGGTACTTAGAATGAAAATAGGATGTAATTAAAACTGTGCATTACTGTCCCAGCTTGTGCCAGCCTCTAGGATGAGGTGATCCTCAGAGGACAGTCCTTGAGGATTCTATCCAAAGCCTGAGTTGCAGAGATATAGCAGTATTTCTGCTTATCCCAAGGGACAGAATAAAATTGTCCATCCAACTTAGGTCATATTAATTGCTCATGTAATGTTTTATTAAAGTGTAACACACCTTTAGAAAACATACAAATCACAAAGCATATAGATCAATTAATTCTTACAGTGAACACATCCTTGTAAGTAATACCCAGATAAAGAAACAGAACATTAATAGCAATCAGAGTCTTCCCTTGTATCTCCTTCCAGTTGCTACTACTCCCACCCTAGTGTTACCATTATCCTGGCTTCAAAAATCACAGATTAGTTTTACCTGTTTTCAATATTATATAAATGGAATCATTCAGCATATGCTCTTTTATATCTGGCTTATTTTGTTCAGCATTAGGTTTGAGAGATGTATCAATGTCCCTGTGTGTAGATGTAGATCATTTGTTCCTCACCCACTCTTTGTTTACACTTGCCTGGAAAACCGTGCCAATCTCCAGTGTGTTTGCTGATGATTATATTCTTTCATTGCAATTTAATTGAGCATATAGACAGATATATTTATTAATCTTTATAAGTGCAGTAGCTGATAGAAAAATGCACAGAGCCTCCTAAGAGATGATTCTTTTCATTATTTAACATTGGTATTTGACTTTCAAGGTGAAATAGAAGCTGGTGTCTTCCAAGCTATTCCAAATTCATCACCTTTGCAAAGGTTACAATATAAAAATCACTATACTATTGTGCAGGTAAGAGAGTGAAGAACAGAGAGGTTAATGACTGCGTTAGTTTTACCAGCAAGAGCCTTAAGAACCCTTAGATTTCCAGTGCATAAATTCCTTTATACCCCTTCCAAAGCTTCCAGGGGTCTGTGAGAAAAATAAAGAACAAAGTAAGATGTACTATTATTTTCCCAGACATAAATTAAGATATTAACAGAAGAAACGCTTTGTTCAAAAATAACTGATGTGAATGCATAAACAAGTGAAACAGATAAAAGCAGACTTCTCTGGATGAATGTAAAAGGGAGAGTAGAGATATGTCCCTCTGCCTTCCTCTCCTTAGCAATGGCAGCTCCTGGTGACTTCTCAAAACATCTGACATCATCCTGAAGCAGTCATTACCACCTAGGTCTGATAAACTGGTGAATACTTGACCTGTGCTTTTGGAATGGGGTCTGAGGCTTCTTTTGGATCAGTGACCAAATCACAGAGGGAAATTCCTTTTTAGAGTCTGAAGGCTTTGACTCCTGCTTCTTAACACTTTCTGTAACCCATCTTCCTCCCCCTACCTCATAAGTCCAAGTTTGATGTGTCTGTTCTTTATAGTACACAGAGGAAAATGAAAAGGTAACAATCTAATTCTGGGTTGTTGCAGCAAAATGACTTCTAGTCAAAGTAAGACTGTGACTTGGAACAGACTTGCCAGGAGGTCTTAAACTTTGTGTGAAACATTCTTTCATAGTCTCCAACCCTCAATGACATTTATCCCTGTGCTAGACACATAGTAGGGACACAATAAATACTTTCTTGATGAATTCACAGTATTCATATTTATTTAGGTGACTTTTCCTGTTTATAAACAGATGAAGTACTCAGGAAGAATGATTAGTGATTATAATCATCACTAAATCCCATTAGTTCACTTCACATATAACTGAACATATTATTCTTTCTGTTAACAAAATTAGATGTTTGCAAGTGAAAAGAATGGGTCCTCTCTCCAGAGTCAAAATCCCTCCTAAATTCATTCAACAGGTGTTTGTTGAGTACTTACTATGTACCATTATTTATTCTAGGTTCTTGAGATTGATACATGAGTGAAAATCCTTGCCTCCATGGTGCCAGTTCATAATAATTGTGTTACCTACTTTAGTGCTTTTTTTTTCAAAATGCTTTTTGCTTTCTCTTTCTTTTATTATAGGCTTTGCACTTCTGGGAGGTCACCCTTGTTTTCTTACCACACAAGATATTCACTTGGGTGTGAATGAAAGTCTCACAGACACAGCCCGGTTTGTAAATCTTCTCTTCAAAACTTATTTCAAAATTGATAGATATATCTCAAAAACAAAATATGCTTTTCTTTTAATAATGTATTTTTATCTTAGTATCCTATGTGCTATTGTCTGTTTTTTTTTTCTTTTCCTCCTTATTTGATATTCTGAATGACTCTACTTCATCTTCTGGCCACTTTCTGTAAGTTAAGACAACTTTTTTCTTAGCAATTTGAAGAGGCTTGTTATTATAAAACTTCAAATTTAGGAAAACTTAGGAATCATCAAGCATGACTCCAACATTTTACAATGGAAGAAATGGAGATCCAGGGAAATTGACATGTTCAATGACTCATAACTAGTTAGCATTGAAGCAGGTAATAATATTAATAGCTAACATTTATTGAACATTTATTATATGTTAGCATTGTTCAAACTTATTTAATCCTGATAACAACCCAAAGAGATTGGCATAAAAAGGGAAAAAACTTAATTAGGGATATACTAGCTAGTATAACACAAAATTTCAAAATGTCAGTGACTTAAAATAGTGCAGATGTTCCTGATTGGTAAGAGGGAAAGGCTGATTATTTATGTAGCCACTGAGAGACTCTGGATGAGAGAGGCTCTGCAGTCTTAAACATGTGCCCTCTAAGGTGACCCTGGGTGTCAACAGCCAGCCAGGACCTAGAGGAAGAGAGCATGGAGAGGGGATACTTGCTTCAAAGCCACCTTAGCAGGGAAGTGACACACTTACTTCCACTCACATTCTATTGGCAAGTTCTAGTAGCTCACCCCTACCCAGATGAAAGTAGAGGTGGGAAAAGGCTTGTAACAACTAGATTACAGTTAAAGTTTGAAACATAGGTCCCCTGATTCCCCATGCAATACTCTTGCCATTATGTCATGTCTGGTTGAGAAATACAGAGCAAATGTCTTTGTTTAGATATTTTACCCTTGATATGGAAGACTAATGATTTTTTTTTCTGCAAATGATGTGCCATAAAACAACTCCTTACAGACACTCTCTGCTTTTTATGGCAGCTACCCTAGCATATACTAAAGAAACCATTTCATTTGATTTGCTGAAGAGATTTGAAGTAACTCAACTTTAAATCTTTTTGTTACATTATATCAGATGAAACATGTTAGTGTTAAGAAGTGTTAGAGCCCTGGCTGGTGTGGCTCAGTGGAGAGTGCTGGCCTGTGAACCAAAGGGTGGCCACTTCAATTCCCAGTCAGGGCACATGCCTGGGTTGCGGGCCAGGTCCCCAGTAGGGGGCACGTGAGAGGCAACCACACATTAATGTTTCTGTCCCTCTCTTTCTCTCTCCCCTTCCCTCTCTCTAAAAATAAATAAACAAAATCTTTTTTTAAATTTATAAAAAAAGAAGTGTTGGGCAAAAAGAATAAATAAGCATAAATGAGTATTTCTTCCAAATATGCTGACACTGACTGGAATTATATTTGTCTAGTAATTCTCCTTTCACTAAAGAGAAATATACTTTATTCAAGAGCAAATATTACAAGCCAGTCAAGAGATGAAACCAGGGACTCAGTCAGGATAGAGTTTCAGTGGGGATCCTCCATGTAGGACCAAGCGAATGATAGTGAATGAGTCTTTGTGAACCAGTTGTTGGAAAACGGTATAATGGGAGGAACAGCTGAGCATTCGATAAATAGTTAAGGAGTGCATCTTGGCAGCCAGAAAGAGGTCAGGGCCCAGAAATCAGTGGAGAAGGCAGGACCCCAAAAGCAAGAGACAAGTAGCTAAGTATACATTGAAAGGTGAGGATGAATATAAACATATTCTTTTTGTGCTTGTTCTCCACACAATTCCCACTGCAAGTTCTTAGTTGAAGGAGCTCTACCCAGATCCTGAGAAAAGCAATCTGTTCACAAGTTCCAACATGATTGGGACCTTTTAGTCCACATACATAATTAGATCCATTGCTTCATGAATATATGGAAACATGAAATTTGATCCATTTAATTCCTTCTGATCATTAAATCTTAGTCAAAAGATTCTGAATGAAAATATTAGTTCCTTAAAGGGTGTATACTATGAACCTCTTGTACTATAGTCTCCAAATCTTTTTAAAAACTTTACAAAGTAAGTATTACTGGCCCAATTTTATAGACAATGAAACCATGACTCAGACTTAGCAGCTAAGTCAGCATTTATGGTTTTTTTTTTATGAAAAGGGAAGGAATTATTTATTCAAAAAGTTATACAGACTTAGGGTAATGACTTAATGTCTTCATTAAGATCCTAAAGTCCTTTAAAACACCCACAACACACACAGTTCTAAAAATATGGAATGCTTCACGAATTTGTGTGTCATTCTTGTGCAGGGGCCATGCTAATTTTTTCTGTATCGTTCAATTTTAGTATATGTGCTGCCAAAGCAAGCACCTAAGTCAACATTTAAATCATGCTGCTTTTTCTTCAGACTATCTTGTTTTGACTACTCCTACTTCCTCTTTTAAACATCCCAAAAGAGAATCAATAAAATATGTTATGGAAATCATTGTTTTCTGGGTCATGAGGTCCCCAAGACCACCCTCATACTTGATTCACCGGTAGGATTCACAGGACTCACCAAATAGTCATACTCATGGCTATGATTTATTACAATGAGAGTATACCAATCACAAGCAATGAAGGGAAAAGACACAAGTAGCAAAGTCCAAGGGAAACCAGGTACAAGCTTCAAGTGTCTTTTCCCAGTGGAGTCACTCAAGACATGCTTAATTCCCTCAATAACAAGTTGGCACAACACGTGTGAAATGTTGCCAACCAGGAAAGCTCCTTAGAGACTCAGTGCTCAGCGTTTTTACTGGGGGATGGTCACATAGCATCCTTTGTTTGACATGTACCCAAATCCCAGACTCCCAGAAGGAAAGCAGGTGTTTGCTTTAAACCATATTGTTTGTAAAAAAACATTTTAGACACAGTGAGTAACTCTTACCAGTCCTGGGAATAGTGGAAACCCTGTCCAAATCAAAATTCCCAGATGTCATCCTGGGGCATCTTACAAGCAGGGCTTTCAAAGGATAGCAGTCAGGTCTGCTATGTTAACTTTTTTCTTCATTGCTTGAAAATCACAAGCCAAGATCCAATCCAAGCTTTGCCACTTACCTACTCTGTAACCTCCATGGGTGAAAATTTCTCTGGATTTTAATTACCTTTTTTAAAATGTGAGGGAGTTCTGATCCTTAAGGTTAACTTTATAGTCTCAATTTATGCAGATGTATTATATACAAAGAGGTAGTCCTTAAACAGAGGTGTGTCCTAATGTAAACCATGTGTAGACAGTTGCAGAGTAATTTGGATTGGAGTATGCATAGGAGGTTGAGAGAAAATTTCTAATTCTGCAGGTTAGGGTTCAGATGGTGTCTGGGCATCTGTATATTAACAAGCTCCTCAAATGATTCTGCTGCAAGGGTGGCTGGACCACACTTTCAGAGACCCTGAATTGGGAGGCTATATTGTAATTCTGGGCTCTTGTGCTGTCTATTTATGCTAGTGTGTTATGAAGGGAATGGTAAAGAAGAGACAAGTAATAAGCTATTTATATGGTTTCATGATAACTGATTATGAAGGTTACATTGATTATGGAGATTAAATGATTTCAGATAGTTATTATTAAAATATGTATGTATATATTAGAAGAAAGAAAATAAAAGAAGTTTTTGCTTTGGGGAGAAGGTGATAGATCAGGTATTGGACATATTTCATTAAAGGTTGGATATCCAAATACAATTGGCCACATACCATTGGAGATAAACATTTTGGGTGAAGTTGAAAGCTGGAGAAATAGAAGTATAAGCTCAGTGGTAGAAAATGAACTGCAAAGTTTCACTGTGGGAGAATTGCAGAAGGCTGAAACTTGAGGACAGGTACAGTTAAAGAAGAGCAGGAGGAAATTTTCAGGATACAAGGAGAATAAGGCAATATCAGATGAGGCTGCAATGGGACATGGGAGTGTCAGAAAGTGGGGTAGAGTAGCCATTGTGGAAATTTTACTTCCTTTTATGTACTCCATTACTACTTAATCTGTCAAAATATCTAACAAACAAGATATAGCTGATATTCAGAAATTCAATAAATCTAAATTGAAGAAGACAAGAGAAACCCACTGCCTTTCACAGAACCAATCAAAAAGGAAAAGGAAGGAAGTGAATCTTAATAGCATCTATTCTGCCAATATACACTGTTCAATCCATAGCAATTGCCTTCTTGCTTTTTGTGGAAGTTAAACTTTGTAAGATGCAGAGATTGGACGATGTTTAAGTAACAGTGCTCTCACTTTCAAATCAAGAGAAGAGTGCACACCAGACAATGATTGATGGTGTTGCTTCTCCATCTGCCTGTCTGGCAGTTTTTGGGGCCTGGTGGAATATGAAAGTGACTGCCCATTGGTGAGAAAAGAACATGGGTGGAGGAATACAGTGAATGTGGTGACAGGAAAAAAGGGCAAAATTGGGCTAGTCTCCTGAAAGCTATTAAGTACAATTTCCAAAGTGTCTCTCTTATTTAGTCAAATGATTTAATTATTCATTTATTCAAAAACATTTATAAAATGCCTATTATTTTCTTCCAGGCATTGTTTTAGCACTGAGAATAAAATGTCGATAAAATCAAACAAAAGCCTTGTTTGAGTGGAAATTATATTCTAGAGGGAGGACACTTTCACCAAAAAAATAAACAAAGTATGAACAGAGTTGTAGGTTGAAATAAATGCTATGATGAAGGTAAAACAAGGTGAGCAATGGGTGGGCTGAGGACTATTTTAAGTTGGGTGATCAGGGAAGGCCTCTGTGAGGAGGTGACAGTTAAGTTGAGAACTCACTGAAAAGACATAGCCAGGTATGCAAAGCTGTGGGAAGAGCATTGTGGACAGAAAAAGCTGCTTGTACTAAAGGTTAAGGCAAGCTTGATATATTCAGGAACAAAAGGATAGCTAGCAATATTTTAAAGTCTGCAAATAAACATATTTTAAATGCATAGATTAAGGAAAAACGTACCCTTATGAGTTGGTCTTGTCACAGCACCAAAAGAAGGAAACTAAATCAGATCAGGGAGTAAAAATCTTAAATACACATTCAAAATAGAATGTGTTGCTCTTTTCTTTCTTGATTAAAATAATAAAAGCTGTCCACTCCTGAAGATATTATGTATTCTGAGGGTGCTAGTGGAGAGAGTAGGAGAACTGAGATGCAACTGTGGGCTGCTGTTGTGGAGAAGCTGGTGTGTCAGAGCTCTCTAAGACCACCCCTAGGTTTGATGATTCATTAGGACTCACAGGATTTAGCATATGGTCCTATGCATGGCTAAGATTCATTACATAATAAGAAATGCAAAGCAAAATCAGCAAAGGAAAAAGGCACATGGGGCCAAGTCCAGGGGAGATCAGGCACAAGGGTCCTCTCCAAGTGGAGACACACAAGACATTCTTAAATCCTCCAGCAATGAGTAATGGCAACATGTATGAAACGTTTACTAGTCTTTACTAAGTGCCCAAGATTTTTACTGGGGGCTGGTCACATAGGCATCTTCTGCCTCACGTGAACTCAAATTCTAGATTCCCCCAAAGAAAGTGGGCATTCAGCATAATCCTTAGTGTTTATACAAACAGTTTAGACAGTGATCCATCCTTATTATTTCTAGGAATGGTGGAAACCCAAAGTCCAAGTTCCCAGAGACTAACCAAGGGCCAACCTTGCAAGCAGACTATTTGATCTTTTCTTTTCTTTCTTTCCTTTCTTTCTTCCTTTCCTTTCCTTTCTTTCTTTCTTTCTTTCTTTCTTTCTTTCTTTCTTTCTTTCTTTCTTTCTTTCTTTCTTTCTTTCTTTCTTTCTTTCTTTCTTTCCCTCCCCTCCCCTCCCCTCCCCTCCCCTCCCTTCCCTCCTCCTCCTCCTCCTCCTCCTCCTCCTCTTCTTCTTCTTCTTCTTCTTCTTCTTCTTCTTCTTCTTCTTCTTCTTCTCTCTCTCCTTTCTCTCTCCTTTCCTCCCTTCCTTCCTTCCTCCCTCCCTCCCTTCCTTCCTTCCTTCCTTGAACAATAGGGCTTTCATCTCTTTTTTAGATTTTTCTAAGTTTCCTTTACCTCTATATACTTTAACTGGTAAGGCAGTGTATCCTACACCCATGGGAGGACCACCTTAAGATTGGAATTTTGTCTTCAGTTCAGTGTGGGTCCCTAGGGCCAGAATTGCATCAGATAGAATCAACCATTGCTCACTTTCCTCTTTTGAAAAGCCTCTCTTAGCAACTCTCTTAGCAACTCTTTCCCACACTGTAATGTATCAGAAGACACAAAATATATACATATATATTCAATTAAATTTGCTTCAGATTTGATGACATCTTCAGATGTTAATTCTCTGTGGTTAAGAGTTGGATATTCTATATTTTCCTTGCTCTGGGCTTGTTTTTTCAGATGTGACACCAGAAGTGACACCTTGGCATGACTCAGATCACTGATTTTTTTGAAGTTTAAAATTTGATGGAACTTAGGAACAGCAGGCAGACATTATCACTCCAGTTTCAAGGCTTTCTGTTTCTTCCATAATAACAGCTGTTCATGCCTAATGCTCTGAGTCCACTATTGAAAGGTGCATAATAGCTTCACAGTCATTTTCACTTTAATACACTACTTCATAATGCAGCTTCAGGAACTATGTGTATGAAAAGCTCCATATAAAACCAAATAATGTAATATATTGTTCTACTCTACGTACTTTCCTTATAAATTTAATTTACTTAGCGATTGCTAAAGTGTATTCTGTGAATGTAAAACTAGTAGAAAGGAAAATTAGCACAAACCACTGTTAGTTTCCTAGAGCTACAAATTACCCACACTTGGTGAGTTAAAGCAACAGAAATTTATTCTTTCACAGTTCTGGAGGCTAGAAGTCTAAATTCAATGTGTCAGTAGTGCCATGCTCACTCTGAGGGCTCTAGGGAGGAATCTTACCTTGCCTTTTCCTAGTTTCTGGTTGCTTCCAGCAATCCTTGGCATTCATTGGCTTATAGATGCATCACTGCAAACTCTGCCTCCATCTTCACTTGGGCTTCTTTTTGTATGTCTTTATGTATCCTCTCCTCTTATCAGGATGTCAGTCATTGGATTCAGGGCCCACACTACTCCAGTATGACCTCATCTTAACTAATTATATCTGCAAATATCCTACTTCAAAACGAGGTCACATTCTGACTTTTCAGGTGGACATGAATTTAGGGGACATCATTCAACCACTATAAACCACATATGCACATGCTCCTGTAATGACATGAAAGGGTTTCAAATCATTGTCATTCTGATAACTCAAATAATGGAAATTATAGAAGGATTTGTGGATGAGTCATGGTCCTCAAGAGAAAGAATGAACTACTGTTATATGGAAAGAGAT